TTAAAAATTCACTTTTCCAATGTGAAATAGACGTGTGTGTGTGTGTGTGAAGAATTAAGTATAGCATTATGAATTCATAAGTTATTTCAATTCCCGACCCTCAATGGTCAAATATGTTCTTTCATCACTCGTGAGATTCACACACCCCCAAAATTTCACCAATAAACAAGGATTCTCCATTAAGTTTGATTGCTTTAATCTCTAAGCTTTAACTAGGCTAACAATTTCTTATCAAATGTCGATTTTTCTTAAACAGGTGTTTGAGACTTAACCAAAGCATTTGGTGCGTCTTCTGTTTTATGCACCTGCTTTTTCTGATTTTTTTTTTTAGAGTTTTCCCTTAAACTTTCTAAATAACCCATGTAACAAACTTTCGACCGATAACTCCCAAGTCAGATGACCATAGGGTACCAGGTTTTAAAGACCCTTATATGCTTAATTGCTCAAGTCAATAAAGGCTACGAAGAGAAATTTTCTAATTTTTTTTTTTTGCCTTAATTAGTGCAATATCTTTCATTTAACACAAATTCAAGTAAAACGATCTCCAAGTTGAGATTTTCACCCAATTGCATCCCATTAACCTTAGACAATCTACACAAGATTTTTAATTTCATACATGGAATCTTTATTTATCTCAACACCTCCCTAGAACAGTGAAATCCCCCCAAACTATTCTAAATTTGGTCCAAGAATGTAAAATTCAGTGGTTTTGAGTTTAGCATCTATGGTCCAATATTTCAAATTATTCAATTATGAAATCAACTCATTCCTACACAATGCTTAACTTAATTCATGTGCTCAATATATATCAATTCACATGGAAAAACAAAAATTAATCTAAGCATGCAACTTATTTACCATTCATAGATCAATTCACGATTCAATATATTCATCGTTGCCAGCCGGCTGAATAATTCACACAAGCACACAAAAAGAAAATATTTTTATTTTATTTATTTTTATTTTTTTCAATTTTTTTATAAGTCAATAAAAGCACACAAAAACACATAAAAAATGACAATTCATATTTTCCACCCCCAAACTTAAATTAAACATCGTTCTCAATATTTTTAATTCTAAATCCGCATATAAAGGGATGAGGAAGAATGTGAAGAAAGAACTTCCCTGATATGACTTTTAATTTAATGGCTAGCTTTTTCATTACTTTC